GAAGCCAAAATTTTGTCAAAGTCTTATTTTTTTTAGCCAAATTACATTTACAGATTTTTTTTATTTATTTGATTATTTTTTGGCTCATTTTAAATTGATGAAAATAAATAAATAAATAAATAAATAATAAATAAATAAAAAACTAAAAATAAAATCATGAATAAAATAAAATAAAATAAAATAAAATAAAATAAATTAAATTAAATTAAATTAAAAAAATAAAATAAAATAAACAAAATATTTTTTTAAAGTGAATCTTACTTAAACTTCTTCATAAAACCTTCACAAGTGCTCAATAAAAAGTCAGATTTAAAAAGATTTAATCAGTCAGACCTTCTTTAACAAGCTGCTTTCTTTAAAATCACATAAAACCTCAAATAAGAACAAACTACATTTATTTTACCATGCTTCAGATTAAATCATTTCTATTAAAAACTCAACAGAACATGCAACCCCCCCAAGAACAGCCACAAAAGCACTCAGAGTTTACAGGCGCTCACTGATAAACAGCTCATTTTACATTATTTACATTTATGCATCACACAAAGAGAGATCAACAACATTCAGCACTATTAATAAACACTAACAAACATCTGTAAATAAATGCTGGATATTAGTATGTCTGAGAAGAGCTGAGCACTTACAGGTTGTGTGTTGTTGTGTGTGGTTTGTCTGCGGTCTGGTGAAGATCTCAGGGTGTTTTCTCACAGCTCTGCTCTTTTAATTGAAGGCAGGCTGGGAAATATGTTAATGAGGGCCGACACTCACGTCTGCATGATAATAGAAGAGGCCAAACGCTCGTCTGGGTTCCCAGAGCAGTCAGACGGTCAAGTTCAAGCTCAAGTCTGATCACACACACACACACACACACAAAGCAGAAGCAGAGTTCACACTTTAGACTAAACCTTAAACTCACTGACGGTCACTGAATCAAAACTTTTCCCACTTTGTGCTTCTGTGAAATATTAAAATGGTTGCAGCTTGAATATCATGGAAAAATTAGAAATTTAAGGTTTGAACTTTGAATCTGAAATTTGAATTTGAAGTATTGTTTTTTAGAGTCTTGAAGATTTGGAATTTGATGTTCGCTGACTCAAAAGAGGAATTTCCATCACATCTAAACAACTGAAAAACAGGGCACCGTGGTAAAATATTACAATGGTTTTATCTTAAATATTATGATGAGTTTTTAATCTGAGTTAGAATTTTGTAGTTTGTTTGGATTTTGATTTAAAATTTTAATTCAGGAAAGCATATTTAAATGTAAATTTGAATTAGAATTAAGCAATTTGTAACCCACCGGTCCTACTGTACCCAACCAGCTCTGAGCTGGGATCAAACCTGCGATTATTTGCATGGGAGTCGGTTGCTCTAATAATATGGCTAAAGACCATGACCCCTAGCCATACCTGTCAACATTGGGATGTGAAAATAAAGGATATGCCCACCATAATAAGGACCCAAAAAATAAGCTTATTAAAATTAATTGATTTTATAATGAATTAGAATCAAGCTATCAATCTCATTAGCCGTTTCTTCACTATATAACTTACACATTCTGATTAAAGAGCAACGAATAAATCTCTCATTTATTAGGATTTTTTTTATTACATAAATAAGAGGTGTCACTTTAAAAATGCACACATCTAACGTTATAATGAAAGCATTCGACTGCTTTCCTAACTTTTATGCTCATTTATGACGAAAATAGTTGTGTTTGGGAAAAAAAAAACACCAAGATCGACATACTTCTACGTTATTATTATTAATTATGTGTGTATGCCTGTTTAAACACACCCAAAAGCCAGACTTTCTCTCCGCTTCAAATCTCGTGTACTGTGTACTGTACTGAGCAACTGTTTATCGCTATCGAGCGCGTCAGCTGACAGTCATGCACCATTATATGACTGTTTTAAGGATTGTATAGGATGGGAAACGGCACCTGTAATCAAACGGAAATGGAATCGCGCAGTTTTAAATATTTATTTATAAGTGTTTTCTTTCCTAAATAGGCGAAAACACAGAACAGACTCACGTTTTAGAGCAAGGGCGACCCCTGGTGGTTTGGCGGTATGGGTTGCGTATAGGGAGGCTCGGCTGTTCAGAGAAAGACTGAAAATACGGGAGAAATAAGGGAAAATACCTTCACGGGATGATAGCGGGATACAACAGTAAAATCGGAAGAATCCCGTGAAAAACGGGAGGGTTGACAGGTATGCCTCTAGTGTCTGTCGCTAGAGCACCATTAGAGGTCAGAGGAGTGGGGTTTACCCAGGGCCGGAGCACGCTGAACTGCCGCTCTAGGCAAAGGACGGTCACGCTGCCCTCAAACCTAAAGTGAAACCGGGGGGGACGCCACCCTCTCTATTCTGCCGCGCTAGACGCAGATATAACTGAGGCGTGGGTGGCGAGGGTAGTTTCGGGGATTCCGCTCTCTATATTCTGCCACCCTAGACGCGGATATAATTGTGGCCGTGGGTGGCGAGGATAGTTTCGGGGACGCCGCTCTATCTATTCTGCCATCCTAGACGCGGATGAGGGCGCGGGTGGCGAGGGTAGTTTCGGGGACGTCGCCCTCTCTATTCTGGCACCCTAGGCGGCCGCCTAGGTCGCCTCTATGGAAGCGCCGGCCCTGGGTTTACCTGCACAGCACTTCGTTAGCTGTTTTCTGTAAGATTTACTCCCCTAAACCTCACTACCATTCTGGACGAGCCCCCATGTGTAACCCACCAGTCCTACTATACCCAACTCTGTCTGAGCTGGGATCGATCCAGCGATTCTTTGCATGGGAGTTGGTTTCTCTAACAGTGAGGCTAAAGACCATGGACCAGTCAGAGGAGTGCGGTTTAACTGCATAGCAATTTGCTAGCTAGCCTTTGTTAGACTCACCCCGCTAAACCTCACTCCCATCACGGACGAGCCCCCATGTGTAACCATGTGTAACCCACTGGTCCTACTGCATGCAACCTGCTCTGAGCTGGCATTGAACTGGCGACTATTTGCATGGGAGTCGGTTGCTCTAACGATGCGGCTAAAGACCATGGCCTCTCTGTTGCTAGAGCACCTTTAGAGGACATTTACATTCACATTTACATTTTACATTTACATTTAGTCATTTAGCAGACGCTTTTATCCAAAGCGACTTACAAATGAGGACAAGGAAGCAATTTACACAACTATAAGAGCAACAATGAATAAGTGCTGTAGGCAAGTTTCAGGTCTGTAAAGTCTAAGAAGGAAAGCATTAGTAATTTATTTATTTATTTTTTGTGGGGTACAGTTAGTGGTAAATCCAGAGAGGCGATTGCAGATTTGGAAGTGAAGTGGAGACTAAATAGTTGAGTTTTTAGTCGTTCCTTGAAGACAGCGAGTGACTCTGCCGTTCTGATGCAGTTAGGGAGTTCATTCCACCAACTGGGCAGATTGAACGTGAGAGTTCGGGAAAGTGATTTCTTCCCTCTTTGGGATGGAACCACGAGGCGACGTTCATTCACAGAACGCAAGTTTCTGGAGGGCACATACATCTGCAGAAGTGAGAGCAGATAAGAAGGAGCAAAGCCAGAAGTCGCTTTGTAGGCAAACATCAGAGCTTTGAATTTGATGCGAGCAGCAACTGGCAGCCAGTGCAAACGGATGAGCAGCTGAGTGACATGTGCTCTTTTAGGTTCATTAAAGACCACTCATGCTGCTGCGTTCTGAAGCAGCTGAAGAGGCTTGATAGAGTTAGCTGGAAGCCCAGCTAGTAGAGAGTTGCAGTAATCCAGTCTGGAGAGAACAAGAGCTTGAACAAGGAGTTGAGTTGCATGTTCAGATAGGAGTCGGACCTTTCTGATGTTATAGAGTGCGAATCTGCACGATCGAGCAGTTCTAGAAATGTGCTCAGAGAAGTTTAGTTGGTCATCAATCATTACTCCAAGGCTTTTCACCATTTTGGATGCAGTAATGGTTGCCACGTCCATCTGGATTGAAAAGTTATGATGTAGAGTCGGGTTGGCAGAAACTACAAGCATTTCTGTTTTTGCGAGGTTCAGTTGAAGGACAGAGGAATGAGGTTTACCTGCATAGCACTTTGCTAGCTGGCCTCTGTTAGACTCACCCCTCCTAAACCTCACTCCCATCCCAGACGAGCCCCTATGTGTAACCCAATAATTAAACCCTACTGTACCCAACCCAGTCTGAGCTGCCATCGAACCAGAGATTCTTTGCATGACAGTCGGTTGCTCTAAGAAGGAGACTATAGACCATGGGTCACCAATCTCGGTCCTGGAGGGCCGGTGTTCCTTCAGGTTTTAGCTCCAACTTACCTCAACACATCTGCCTGGGTGTTTTAAGTATACCTAGTAAGACCTTGATTCGCTTGTTCAGGTGTGTTTGATTAGGGTTGGAGCTAAAATCTGCAGGACACCAGACCTCCAGGAACAAGTTTGGTGACCCCTGCTATAGACCATGGCCTCTATCCCTAGAGCACCTTTAGAGGTCAGAGGAGTGAGGTTTACCTGCACAGCACTTCACTAGCTGGCCTCTGCTCGAAATTAAAATTTTCATTTTGGAATTAGGATTTTGGATTTAATAGCCACTATCAGAACAAAACTGTTTTCTTTTTTAAACATTTTTCTTACTGTTTGAGTTGCTGATTTAAGGAATAAAATGGAGCTCAGAACAGCCGAACCAAAACATCAGGCATGAAAAAAGTACTGAACAGAAAAAAACGAACGTTTGGATAAATAGAAACTAAAAGCAACAAACATAAAAATCCCTGATATTGCAGAGATATTCCCTGATATTCCACGATTCCAAAAACCTTTCCCCAACACTGGCTCAGTCTAATGTATGCAAGCGTCACTGCTCAAAGCCAAAACACTGAAGATTTGCAGCTCCACAAGGGTCAAGCCAAGTAAGTCAGTGGGGAGGACAACCCAGGCTCATTCTGATTACGTACCCCTATTCTGAAGTGCCAAATACATCCCAGGAGATATGTTTTTGTGCAGTTTTAGTTTTTGCGAATGCACCAGAGGCTGCTGTGTATGTTTTTCAGATCTCTTTTTATTTATTTTTTAAATTTATTTAATTATTTAAAAAAAAAAAATATTATTTTTTCTTTTCTTTCCTTTTTTTTTCTTTTTCAGATCTCAAATTCCTCTTCGAGTGCCATTTCCGCCTGCTGTTCTCATGTTCATCGTCCAGAGGCCGCTGTTGACTGACTGACCAATCGACTGACCCACCCTCCTGCTTTTCTAAACCAAACCAAGTGTTTTCAAAAGCACAGATTGACCAGTGCCCACCCCTTCCCTAAACCCAGTAAACCCATAAATCCAGAAAAAAAGCGCTCGGCTGAATTTTACCACATTTTCAGATTTAACCGTATTCTCACCCTGTTATTTGCTTGTTTATTTATTTTTTTGGCTTCTGTTTTTGTTTTACCTGCTTTCTGGAACCATTTTTCACCAGACTTGAACCTCGTGGTCGTGATCACATATAATTATGTAAGGATATGTCACCAGAATTATCATAACTAGCATGCATTGACCCACAACTATTCATGTGTGGGGTTGCTTCTTATGTAAGGGGGTGGGCTCAGTCACAATTTTGGCCAAAAACACAGCCATGAATAAAGCCTGGTACCAAAACACCCTCCAACAGCAACTTCTTCCAACAATCCAACAACAGTTTGGTTAAGAACAATGCATTTTCCAGCATGATGGAGCACTGTGTCATAAG